TGCATTACAAGAAGACCCAACTGAGTCTGGAGAGACGCATAGAAGAGTACGAGAAGATCTACGCACAGTTCGAACTCAACAAGGTACAAACTGATTCGATCACATTCGTACGTATTTATTATCTCCCTTTTTGCCAATCAACAGTTTTTATCACTTCTGAAGCCTGGAGTTTAAATTTGATTTTAAAATTGTTGTGCGAGGATCGAAATCTCGATCCAATGATGCCTCGTGTTTTCTTTTTGTAATGACTCAAGGAAATAAAAGTTTATAGATGAAGGAAATGTTGATTATAAGGGTGAAATGAAATAGTTTTTGTTGATGCAATAGGAGATGCTGAAGAGCTCCCAGAGGACAGTGAAAGAGAAGGATGAAGAGTCTAAGAAGAAGGTGGAGGAGATCGAGAACCTCAACTACGCCATCAGAGACTTAGAGAATCAGAGTGAGTCCCACAATAATTCATGACAAGGCTTAGAAAATGTCCAAAAAAAACATTTTGCTGTACAACTTAGTTTAAAAACTCGTTTCACAGTCCTGGAACAGAGGGATGGGGCTGTGAGACCTATAGGAAGAATCGGGATAGCATCAGGAAAAACCGAATTTGAAAGCTAGAGTGTTAGAACTAGAACTTAATTAAACTTCCGCCTTTGTTTAGTTTCCCTTCTTCAAAGTGACAAAGAGAAGCTTATTGAAGACATAAGAGAAGAGGTGCGTTTAAGCGAGGAAAAAGAAGTGCTTCTAGAAGCTATTCCTGAGTATGAAAAGAAGGCGCGAGCTGCCGAGAACCGAACCCTGGCCGCCGTCGCCGACTCAGAGTCCAAAGATCGCATCATTGCTCAACTCGAACAAAAAATTAATGACCAAAGAAAAGAAATCGAAGATTGTCAAAATGAACTTAGAATTTTACCGGAAATTACCCAAGACACTAAGTACCTTTCATGCCAGGTTTGGACGTTGCGTAAACTCCTCAGCGGAAAAGATGAAATAATCCGAAAACAGCTGAATCAAGTCGCGGCGATAACCGGAAATGTCGAAGACGTCTACGGGACGCAAAATGACCAGATAGGAAAGCCTCACAAATCCGCCAATGAGCGACATAAATTGAACTTAAACATGACGCCTGTCATGCAACGAGGAGGAGTTGGTAACCTCGTGTACCAGAGGCCTCGGACCGCTGTAGGAGTATCTCCCGGATCTCGGCCGACGTCGCGTAGAGCACAAAAGCAAAGTCTAGCTCTCAAGAGTCCGGCAGTGGAATGGAAAGAAATGACGGGTAATGAGGTAATTGAGCCAGTGGATGGAGGGAAAATGACTAGAAAGGGGGGCAAGTACAATTTGGGACTAGACCTGGACGCGGAGCCGACTCCAGACTATCATGACACAGACTTGCATTTGTCCAAATACATCACGAAAGGTTAAGAATTTTGTATAAACTTTATTTTTGCTGTATAACGTTGAAACTTTATACAATTCCAAAGATGATAAAACGCATAAAGAGGCTGAAGCATGGGAGGCTTTTAAGAAAGTGAAAACTCGTGTCAATGACAAAAAGTTCTGACCACGTTCACAGGTTTCCGAGTGTCTCTGCGGGAGATGAAGAGGGAGAAATTTGGGAAGGTGCCTTTGGTGGGGACAGTCAAGTGGATGGGGACCCTGGACAGGAGACAGACCCACCACAGACTCTATTTGGGACTCAAACTGGATTCAAAAGTGGGCAACACTGACGGACTCCTACATGGCAAACGACTGTTCACGTGCCCGCCAGGTACCAAAACTATTTCTAGCCGGTTTATTTGAAAGCAAACAAAATGCTCTTCTTTCAAATCAATCAAGAGAAAATACATTAACCAACTCTCCGAAACTTATATAAAAATTGACAGTGATTTGCAAAAAAAATGAGCGATGTACAAAAAAGTCTTAGAATTGCTATTTCAAACCACTTTTTCCAGAAACTAGGGTAACTGTTTCTGACTTTTGTTGTATTTTGAACAAAGACTTAAAACCTTTCTTTTCATCCTCGAAAAAAACGAATATAAAATCCTATACAGCGTATATGCTCTTTAAATTTTTTAAAGCTTGATCAAATGTGTTTTTGCGAGCTCCTAAAATCAGAAAAAGGCCAATTTAGGCGGAATTTTCTAACTTCAGAAAAAAAATCCGTTGGGGTCACTTTTTTCGGATAGCCCTGACCAAAAAAAAACTTAATGATTTTATTTTTTGGGGGGGGCATTAAATTTAGTGTAAATCATCTGATAAAATAGGGCTGGTTACTAGAAAAATTTGTTTTGCCATTTATTTATTGCACGTATAGCTGAAGTGTTCCAATCATCCTTTTTTTAACGTTTAGGCTTCGGAAAGGTGGTTCTCTGTGAGGAAATTGAGAGTGTGTTTGACAAACGAGAAGGGAGATTCATCCCAGTCGTCATGTTTATACGACTCAAAGAGGTAGCTCAGTCGAACCACTTCACAAACAACAACAACTACAATACTAACAACAACAATCTTGAGAATGAAACTCGAGATCAAGGTCGTCCAGTTGGCAGTAGCGGAGATGAAGGGCACTGACCCTAAATTAAAACTGCAAAGACATTAAAAACTGAAAAAAATTCAGTTGTTTCATTTTCAAGTTTTTGTATTACATGAATTTGTAGTTTTAAAAACCAGAATGTTGGAGGAAACTATTGTGGCAACTTTCATCTACTTGCCCGACAATGTTGATCTCGCTTGAATTATGAACGAGTCAATTGATTCAAAAACAGATTTAAGCTCAATTTAAGATTAAACGTTTTGTTGTTTGCTTTTTCGTGATGTTGTGTCCGTCAATAATCAGCGTTCGTTTGCTTCGTTGAGACATTCCCCACGTAATTGGATTCATATTAAACAAGATGTATGTTTGCACAGAAAAATTTTAAACAATAACGCAAAATTTAAAAAAAAATAGTACAGTGTACTGTTTCAATAACGTTAATTGCGGCTTATTGTCAAAATTTTGCGTTTAATTGACTAAATTTATAGCTTAGATGATATTTAAGGCTCAATTCAAACTACTTTGAGTCAATTTTCCTTTTTATCTCAAAACGAGTTCAGCTTACCATTGTAGCCCTTGCTGGTCCTATACATTACTCGATTTGAACAACAAATTGTTAGCTAGAGGTGTTAATTGTAGAACAAAACGGCATAGGACAAGTTGTCGTATGGGGCAAGTTGGCATAGAACAAGTTTTCATGTAGAGCAATTAAGTACGAGTTCAGTTTGCCATAGTAGCGTTTGCTGGTCCTAAATATTACTCGATTTGAACACCAAATGATTAAATAGAAGTGTTAATTGTGAAACAAAACGGCATAGGACAAGTTTTCATGTAGAGCAATTTATCATAGGGCAAGTTGGCATAGGGCCAGTTGTCCTGGAGCAAATAGTCTTTATAAAAAGATTAGAAACAAACCTGGTAACCCGACGCAAACCCAAAATCGATCCGAAAAACCGATTACAAAATCTATAATAGGTAGATTTCGAAAAAAACCGAATCAAATATATTTGATTAAAAATAAGAGCTTTGACGCTATTGTTTAAAAAAAATCAAAAACTCAAAAGTATTACGGTAAGTTAATCACGTTGAGCAAATAAAAATCGACAGAAAAATCTCAGAAGAAAACATCTGCGCTTGAGACAATTTTTTGATTTTACTTCAAAAAAAACCTCGTTGCTTTTTATCCAGCATGAGGATTTTGCAACATCAATTTTATTTCTACTTGCAGCGAAACCGATTTGCCCCGTATTGTAGTATCAAACAGGTTGCTGGAATTTTCTGCTCATAGGTGCTCAGGAGTGGTCAAATCTCTTTTCGGGTGTCAACATACTTGACTATCATACGCATATATGTTTTTGTACATATAACTCAAGTTTCAATGCAGTGTCTGTTGTCTAGTCATTCATTTGGCATCCAGCTTCCCCTTCACATGCCTGACTAAGTTGATCATCTTTCCCTAGGTTAACTTTTACAACGCTTTAACAGGAGTTTTATTAACAATCTGCATACAAGCTTCAAAAAAAGATATAAAATTTTTGGCGAAAAAAAAGACTAAAACCAAATAGGTAACTGAGTGCAGTAAGCTAAGCACAAACAGTCAGAGGTCTATAACGGTCGATGTACGTAATGGGGCCCTTCCAAAACTTGATAGACCTCTTCAATGTCTGAATTAGCCATAGTAACCCTGAAGGCAATCGCCGTTTTTTCTACAGCAAAATGATATGCAACTTTTCAAGTCCATGTTCTTCTTACAATTGGACTTCTTAAAATTCTAGGTTCACGCCTGGGTTGACCAAAAATTGCTCCAAAATTTAAAATTTCAGAATCACTAAATTTTCCAGGAAACTTAAATTTTCTAACAACAAATTACTCACATGACTCACTTGTAAATGTTTTGCTCATATATATATATATATATATATATATATATATTAATACATTCCGAAGCTGATAATCAAAACTGTTCTTCTGGAAAACTTATCAATCTAAATAAAGAATCTATTTCTTAACTTGTGATGTCCCAATATCTTTTCCATGAACATCTTTGATGATAACTTTCCACTTCCGACAATTTTGAAATTTTACCTTCCTGTGTTTTTTTTGTAAAATTGTGGGATTGTTAAATTCAATATCTATATGCATTTGGAACAATTTAGCGGTCTAAAATTTAGCGATGTCTACAATTGCTTTTGAAATAATGCACCTGTAGGTGCATGTTCCAACTGCAGTTGCCTACAGTTCTCGTTTGCGCTCTTTCACCTGACTCTAAAGTGAGTTTTTTGTTAATTTGGTTTCCAAAACTTAGAATCAAAACCCTTGAGCTGGAGGTAAAATTGATATAACTAATTTATTCCTCTGTAGTTGACAACCCAATTTTTTCTTACCAAATCTCTGTGATGATTACTTCCACTCTTTCATATTCGGAAATCATTGGAACGTTTAGTTTTATCTTCCTACACTTTGGCAAATACTTGAAAAAGGTCATTTTAACTTCTCATGCTTTTGCTTAATGTCCAAATACATAAATTGAGCTTCTTATTTTTTGTGGAAACATCTGGGATTGTTATTTAATTTTTTAAGCAAATTTTAAAACTTTTAACGATATAAAAATTAAATTTGTGTTTGCTTTTAAAATAATGCACGTGTAGGTAATGACACTTGCCTATAGTTTTAGCCTAGGTTTTTTCACCTGGCTAAAATATCAGTTTTTTGTTTGTTTGCTTTCCGAACCTTAGAATTGAAACGCTTGTTCCAGAGATTTTGATAAACAAGACAACCTAACCTTCAACTGTTGATTCCCAAAACCTTTTAAGGAACCCCTGGGATGGTTACTTTCTTTCTCCCAAACTTTTGAAAATCTTTTGAAATGAAAAATTTTTTTTTCCTTTTTTCTAAAATTATCTGGGATACTTGAAAAGGTTTAATATTTGTGTGGAAAACTTTCGCGTTATGAAAATCACATCGCTTTTAAAGCGTTGGAAACTCATGTTCCAATTCCACTTTTCTTCAGTTTTAATTCAGGATGTTTCCCCTGCCGCAAATGTCATTTTTCTGCTATCGTGTTTGAAACCTAGATAACCTAAACCTCACTTAGTGATTGCCCAACACTTTTTAAGGAACCTCTGCGGTGGTTAAATTCTCCTTCTCGCGTTTATGAAAAAAAATTAGTATGGTAAAACTTTCCTTTTTGTAGTTGAAATTTTTGGGGTTGACAATTAAGATTCTACATTCATCTGGAAAAAATTAGCGATAAAAAAATTAGGTTAGCTAATATTTTTGAAATATACGCTCCTAGAATGATATTCCAATTGCACTTGCCTACAGCTCTTGCTTGAACTCTTTTACTTTATTCATATGCAAAGATCTTGTATAATTTATTTTCAAATCTTAGAATCAAAACTTTTGTTCTGAAAAATTTTTGTTCTAGATCCAATTAATCTATCAGTGAACTATTGATTCCACAAAACCTTTTCAAATAACTTTGTTATAGTAAATTTTTCTTTCTTAAGCCTATTTTTTCAATTGACTTTGAAATATTGCACATGTGTAGGCACTTTTATTCGCATTTGTCTACAATTCTAGCTTAAGCTGTTTCTGTTGACTCAAATGTGAAGTTTTAATTAGCCAAACCTTAAAACTAAAACCCTTGTTCTGGAGCACTTAATGATCCAGCTGATCTGTTCCTCAACTGTTATTTCACTAAAAACTTTTTTAAGGAACCTCTCGGAGGATTAATTGACTATCACAGACTTTCAAAAATCTTTGGAACAAACTAACCTTACTTTTTTGTAAAAGCATTTGGGATTGCTATACATTTTAACATGCATCAGGAAACTTTTACCGATATAAGTATTAAGTTTGCCATTGCTTTTGGTATAATGAAATTAAAACAGCATGTTTCAAATACGTTTGCCTACAGTTCTACTTAAGGCTTTTTTAATTGTGAGTTTTTTGTTTAATTGATTTCCCACCCTTAGATTCAAAGCTTTTGTTCAGCAGTTCAAGAATCACGATAACCTAAGGTTGAATTTCAAAAAATTTAATTTCAATTTGGCAGATTTTTCTTCCAACACTTTAACAAATTTCTGAAACTTTCCTTGCTTTCGCAAATTGTCCGAATAGATAATTTGAATTTGCTTTTTTGTGGAAACATCTAGGATTGTTAAGCAAATTTTCCAAATGAAATTGGAAGCTTTTAGCGTTACATAATTTAGGCAGGCTTTTGCTTTATAAATAATGTAAGTGTAGGTAAACGTTCAAATGGTACTTATTAAACGTTCAAACGGTAAACGTTCAAATGGCCTATACTTCTAGCTTAGGTTCTTAAACTTGACTCAAACATGGGATGCTGGGAAATTCTGAGAAGATTAATTTCGCTTCCTCAACTTTTTACAAAACTTTGAAAGAAGAAACGTTCTTTTTTGTATAAATCTATTTTGGGTTATTAATTTAAGTTTCATGTATGTATTTGATGTATTTGAAAAACCTGGGCGTTACAAAACTTGAGTTTGCCATTGCTTTTGAAAAAAAAGCGTTGAAGTGCACGTTTCAATTGAACTTGCCTACAATCTTAGTTTAGGCTTTTTCACCTGATAAAAACAATAGTTTACTGTTTAGTTGCTTTCCCAACCTTAAAATCAAAACCTCATTCTTTAGAATTTCCGAACCCAGATAGCCTATCCTTCATTAGATGATTCCTTAATACCTTTTAGGAACTTCTGAGATAGTTAAGTTCTCCTTTCATCGCTTTGGTACCATCCCCCACTCCTCACTTTGGGTTGGAAAAAAAATCGGCACGATTAAAATTTTGGGGTTGTAAATTAACTTTCTATACGCATCTGGAAAATGCAGGCGACATAAGAATTAGGTTTGCTAATAATTTTGAAATAATGAGCTTGTAGGATGATATTCTATCATTTAGCTGTTACGTTCCTAATCTACGTTCTTGGTTCACTGCCTCTATAGTTCACTGTACTGTTCCGACCCTTGAAAATGTGGAGGAACTCTGTATTCGGGCGCGATTTTTAGATAAAGCGAGCGAGCAGTTTTATTTTAGATGATTAATCACCTAAAAGCTTAAAGTAGCTCAATATTAAACGTAGAAATTTGAACTTATTTGGGTGAAGTTAGTTTACTTTGAGTATTTTAGCGCCTTTCAGGAATCAAACTTTTCAACACCTGAAAAAAAACTTAAAAACCTAGAAACCTAAAAATTTGGTTGATTTTTTCTGTCTTTCCCGTAATTTTCAACAAAAAATGGTTTTGGTATGCTTCTTGCAGTATAGTTGTCAAAAATATCTAATCATCAGTTTTTTGTTCAG